GTATTAGATGTATGAGAAGATGTTGCTTAAGTTAAGTTAAGTTAAATATAAATAAAAAGTTGCTGAAGAGAAGGGACACAACGGAACGGCAAAGGTTTCCTTCCCTCTGGAGCACAGAAAACGGGTGAATGAAAGAATACGATAATGAGAATTGGAATGGAAGTGAAATGACAAGCCAAATGTAAGCCCCAGAAAAGGATAAAGTATGTTTCAGAGGAAAAGCAACAAAACGGGAATGTAACAGTCGGAAAATATAAAATAAAGGCTAGTAGAAGTACATAAAGCAACAAATGAAAACAACTCAAGTCTCAAGGAAGAAGCCAACAGATTTCAGTTAAGCTGAAATATGAAGAAATGAACTTACAAGCCAAATGAAAAACACCAGAATAGGTGAAAGTATGTTTAAAAGGCACTGAGATGTATAGAAACGAAATGGGAATGAAACAGTCTGAAAATATGAAATAGAAGGTAGTAAAAGTAGATAAAGCCGAAAACGAAATAAGCCAAATCTTAAATCAGGAAAAGGAGAAGCCAAAAGGCTTCAGTTAAGCTGAAATATGAAGAAATGTAAGATTATGAAAAAAACGAACTGAAACCGAAATTTGGCAGCTATTGAAGCATATTTAGTAACAACTGTCAGCTCGAAGGGTAAAAAGTTCAGCGACAGGAAAGTCAACTAGAGCAAACGTTCGCCGAGATTTTTTTTTCTTATTTTTTAAAATGTATTGTTAATTTATGACTGCGCTATTTGAGACATTCACAATTGAATTCACAATTAGATTGAAAGATTTGGGAAACTATTCAAGAACATTGACGACCGTCTGGAGACATGATTGAGGGCGTGGACCCCCCGCTGTAACCCCGTTCGGAACGAACTTTACACACAAATCCATTAACATTAGAGCGAATGAGGCACATTAAATGGTAATAAAGACGAACTTGAGAAAAGAGGAAGAAAAAGATATGGAGTGCACAAGTATTTGAATTTACAATGACCCAAAATGAGCTGCCGAGAGTTCTACGAAAATGTCTCAAGCTGAAAATGGAACCAAAAAAAAAAAAAAAGAATCCAGCGAAACCTCAGAACTCAGACACAGGCGATGGCCACAGCTGATAAATTCATTAAATGCCTCAACGAAACCGAACCAAAGACCAACAAAAAAAAACACGCAAGAATTTCTACATTCGGCAAGCCGAATATTAAATACTCTTGCGGAGATGAGGCTCGGAAATGCATCAAAATGAAATCCTATTTGTCGTCAGATAGTTCGAATGGGCGCTGCATTATATAGGTATAGGAGAGCTTTGCTTTCGATCGATTGGTTCTACATTTTCTTCTTAATTCTTCCCCTATAGCTATATAATTTTATAGTTTGATATTGATTCAGCGTTGCTCATATGCAGGATGCTCTGTGTAACTAATAAATGCCAAGTTTGGTTAGGATATCTTGAAATACTATATAGTTTCTCATTCAATAATTTTCGACTGATCCTTGCTATGGCAGCTATATGATATAGTGGCCTGATTCGGGCATTTCCGATATATATATTATTCGAAATTTCTTGACTGAGAGAAAAGCTTGCATCGAAATTGAGTTTTAGAAAGAGGACAGAACAATATCAACTTGCCTGTAGATACAGATCAGGAATATATATAGACGTAATGGCCTCTCATATGTCTGCCGCTAGGCGTTCCAAGTTTCATGACGAAATTAAAATACCCTATACTAGGGCATGGAAAAAAGTGATGCGACAGGGCGAGGGATACTTACGACGTTCGGGAAATCGGACAGCAAAGACATGCACTGAAATTCAATACCTTTTTTGAGGGATGATGTTGTTGCTGTTGCTGTTGTTGTTGTTGCATTGTGTTCCTAGTTGCTATTATTGATGTTGCCTAGTGTCACTATTGTTGTTGCTGCCGTGCTTCTTCTTCATCTCGTGCAGGGTTTCAGTGCAGCTCGCTCGGAGTTAACGTACAAATGATTTTTTTGATTTCAATTCGTTTTTTTTTCTCTGCTGCTGCCCCCTCATCAAGAACAACTATAATAATATATTTTTCTTTACGATACAATCGGAGCATTTGGGGTAGATGGGCTGCCATGTGTGGAGTTTATTGTTACAATGTTTCGTTAATGCACAGCAACGGCTGCTGGCCTGAGAGCCAAGGAGTCCGGAACTATGGCCGAGAGCGAGGCTGGGGATAGCAGGCGATACAGGGGCGATACAGGGGCGATACGCAAAGCACAAGCGTGCACGGGCAAAGTTTTGCGGCCAATTGTTTGTGGACAATGTTTGGCTTCTTTGACCAGGCAAAATAAAACATGAAAATTGCGCTGGCCTAAGCCGGCACGCCCCCAATGCCCCCTTCGCCCAAGGCTGGCAATTGTTAGAAGCTTGTGAATGGCAAGTTAATAAATTCAAAACACTTGAAATTTCATTTTCGAATATTAAATTTCCAAAGGCGAACCTTAGTCAAAAGGAAAAGCAATAGGAAAAATGCCAAGCGAGCGTGTGGGTAGCCCAAAGCAGACAGCGCTACTGTGTGGCATGTGGCATGTGGCATGGGGCAGGAGTTGCCACGAAGTAGGCACGGAGTAGGAGGTGTGGCCAATGGGCGTGTGTGTCAAGGAGTCTCTCGGAGCGCATTTACATATGAATAGCTGCTGAAAATCAAATGAAAAGCGACTAGCCTGAGCAGGAGCCGCAGCCGGAGAGCCCGAGACGGAGCCACAGGCACCCAACGAACACACACACACACACACACACTCGCCTGACATGTGGCCCCCATGCAAATCATAGGCGCACACACACTCTGCCACTTTTGGTGGCATCCGCAATTCTAGAATTTCATGCTCAACGCTGGCGCAGTCGGAATTGCCAGTGAAGTATTAATGGCAGCATTTGAATAACAATGCAACCACCGCCAAATGCTGTGGGTGCCATTGGCAACGAGGACAACGGCAAAGTTTTCGGCAGCGGCAGCAGCGAGTGGGCGGGGCATGTTGCAAGTGGCGACAAGTGGCCCCAAAAGTGAAAGGCCAATTTGTGTTGCATTTGGTCAGGTGTCAGGCTGCGAGCGTCTATGATTAGCGACTGCTTCCGAAACTTGGCTATCTCCGTGCTCCTCTTTGCTGTTAGATCGAAAAAAGGTGCACAAAAATCAGAGTATGAGCCCAAAAATTTCATTATATTCGGAATTGTGTAGCTCTCAAGTGATGTGTAGTCAAAGTGAAGCGGAACGAGGTTTCAGGAACGGTTTCGAGCAGGGCTCGGACTGGAACTGTTGTAAGATTCCATTGGAAAACCCAGCTTGCTGGCGTACTAATAAAAGCTCCTAACTGATTTTCGATAATTAGCAGCTATTGCTAACTAGCTTTGATGTATAGTATATAATAAGATATAAATATAATTATAATTTGAATTATTTAAGCCTTTTATACCCTGAACCCATTGGGTAAAAAGGGTATAATGTGTTTGTGCAAATGTATGTAACAGGCAGAAGGCAGCATCTCCGACCCCATAAAGTATATATGTATATTCTTGATCAGCATCAATAGTCGAATCGATCTAGCCATGTCCGTCTGTCTGTCCGTCCGCCCGTTAGTATAAACGTGTCGACCTCAGAACCTATAAGAGCTACAGAAATCTTGAAATTTTGAACGTAGGCCCTCCTCGATAATTTACCTATTTCCAAGCAATCGATAAAAATCGATATTGAAGTTCTGTTGTTGAGCAAATCTCTTAGGTTTTAAGAGCTACAGTCACCTCATATTTGAACTGTAGCTTCTGTAATATTATATACAGATCAAGTATCTTTCACATTCTAGCCATCGCCACCAAGATGGTTGAGGGCATCTCCTAGTCGGGCACTTCCGAAAAGAGCAATCTTACTTGTTGTTGCCAATTATGTATAATGCATTAGGTACTTGTTCTTACTTACTCAATTCATGATTTTTAATGAAAAAGAGCTGTTTTTTGCCCCCAGGGACTATTTTCATCATGAATTTAAAAATTTTAAAAAATAACTTGTGAATTTCAGCAACAATTTACTTTATAATGTCTCATTTATAACCAAGACCAACTTTTAAAGCCCAGCTTAAAAACGTGCTAAGGGGCGTAAATCGATACATTTTATTTCTAACTTCTCATTTTTTCATAATCCAATTTAATTTTTTTTTCTGCATGTCAATGCAAAGAAAAAATATAATTTGATCTTTAATTACCATGAGGCTAACTAATTGCTAATGAAATATTTCAAAAGTAGATTAATATAACTTAAAATAATTGTACTTGGAAACTACTTTAAAATTAGCTGATAAACAACCCCGACCAGATTATGCACAGTTGGTTGGATAATTCTTAAGCTGGTTAGTTTTAAAAGCTGATTTTCGAGCAGCTCAATGAGGGATCCATGTGTGGGATCCATGGAAGCATGGACTGTTGCCGAAAACTTGTCTGCGGATTGTGCGAATGCATTTAATTCCCATTGGATGCCTGTTATTAGTGTCTCCTCTGTCTGCCCGAGTTGAGGCGGCACACACAGATCCCGAAAAACTCAACACTCCCTCAACGCAAAGGCTGCGTCTGTCTGTTGTTGTTGTTGGTCAGTTGATTTCTCGGAACATTCGGTCGTTCCACTATGCATAATCAGCATTAAAAAAAGAAATTCAACAGAATTTCGCCAAAGCGAAGAATTCATTTAAGGCTAAATCGAAAAAAGAAATAATGAATACAATTTTTAAGGCCACATCGAAATATGCAAACGTCATTTGGCTGCCGTTAATTATGGTCGTGCCTGGACAAAAGAATAGCATAGGGTGACTGTGAATATATCATTACTATGATATAGTTACCATAAAGTAAGGATCTATCAGATATATAGGAGAATGGAAAGTATAATGAAATAAGTCTAAGCTTTGAACCCGTTATTTGCACTTGTTATACCATATACAATAGTATAGTAGAATAAACTAGTTCATATAACTTTTAAACTTAGCATTCCGGTATAGCCTTGTCATAAAAAATAATATTTAAATTTTTTTACCGTAACATTTAGGGTCGCAATGCTTTATTAGTACAATTTTCTTTTTATTTTTCTTAGCCCTACAGGTAAGTAAACGACCATGGTTTCGCTCAGCTCTAATAGGTCGATCAATTCCGAAAGATATTGGAATGTTAAATGTAAGTCTATCAAGTGCAACTACTTCTATACAGATGGCTCCATTACCTGAGCTAAGGCAACTGATGACTGACAATAAATGGCGCGCTATGGTCGTCAAATAAGCATCATGGAAGTGTGATATGGAAACATGTATCAAATATCCATATATCCGTAGATATATGGATATATCGTAAATTAAAACAAAAATATTGCTTCCTTAAGATTTTTTTCTCAATACTATTGCATCTACTCACCGGAAACTGGATGCCGTGTGGCCCTACATCCAACCGAAACGTAGTTTGGATATATATGTCAGATATATGTATGTCAGAAATATGCTCCTAGATTCGATTGTTTTAGAAGCCCCAGTCCGTTGCAGCCCGGGCACTGCTGTTGTTCTCATAATGATAATCGCCATATTAGCAAGTCTTAGACACTTTTTATATTGTGGACACAAATTCAAAACAATTATCTGGCAGATGGATATCATAATTAGAGAGAAATCCATCTAGACAGTAAGACGTTCAAGTATTTGGAATTGAAAGTTTTTGGAACCCAAAGCATTGTCGATATGTGTCAAAAAATAAAGAAAAAAAAAACCAAACAGTATTTTCAGATCTCAAGTTGTTAAATCTCTAGTAAATTATGGTTAGCTTCTATGGTATAATTCTGGCAAAGATCGTCGTCTTGTTCATTGTGCCTGGTAAGTGTGGCCCACCCTTTGGATGACGGCAGACCTCACGAACTCGAGAGCTCCGGAACTGATGAACCCATCGCCTCTCTGTCTTGATAGGTCTTGACAGTCAGTGCTATGATTGCGCCAAATCGTGGAAAATACATTGCAATACAAGTCAACCCGGATATTATTGCATGCCAGGCACCGAAATATCAAGGCTCGACTTGACGGCCGAACAATTAGCGACCAGCACACCAGATCCCACCCAATTGTTTTCACCCTGTTCGCCCTATCCGATCCGTGTGGGTGCGTATCTACATGGATATCTGTATTTATATCTATATCTTTATTTTTATATATATCTATATCTATATGTCAACATATCTATATATCTATATATATATATATCCATATATCTATATATCTATATATCTATATATCTATATATCTATATATCTATATATCTATATATCTATATATCTATATATCTATATATCTATATATCTATATATCTATATATCTATATATCTATATATCTATATATCTATATATCTATATATCTATATATCTATATATCTATATCTTTATCTATATTTTGTTATTATACATATATCTATATCCATTTTAGAATATATTCAACAATGGTGCTGCTTTTGGTCTGCTGGTGTAGGTTGCCAGGTTGCCATGCATCCGCAGATATATAGGTCTGGAAATCCGTCTAGATTTTGTGACTTCTGCAAGACAAAATGTATCTGCCAAGGTCTATCAGTTTTGGGTGTACAGCCCTGGCATTGGACTTATCTGGGCTGTATAACGTTAGTGATGCATCGTTTTTTCTGATATTTCCCACAGAGATATTGTATAACAGAAGTACTGTAATATTCATTGTATGGTATTGTACGATGTAAGTGCACACAGGCTGCATTGTGTAGAGTGCGTTTCGGGCAACGCCGGGTAACAGCAGCTTCAATATATGTATACAGATGTATTAAATGCCAGTTCCTAAGTAGTCAGCCATTAAAAAAAATTGTTTTTTATTTACTTTTTTCTCGCTTGTAGTTCAGGGCCATTTCAGGTTATGAACGGCTGAAACGACGTGGGAAATGGGACAAAATGAAGCTGCCTATACAATTGAAATGAAACAATAAGCGGAAATAGCCAAACGGCCCGGAGTCTGTCTGTGTGTGTGTCTATGTGTTTTTGTGTTTAAAGTGGAATATGAATACGCAAAAGGCAAATGAAAAGTAAAACCAAAAGCAAAGGCAAGAAAAAAAGTGTCGTAGGCGTTGCCACATTTTGTAGCTGTGTGGGTTCTGTGCGTGCGTGCGTGTGTGTGTGTGCGTGTTTGTGTGAACTACATTTCACTTCACTCGCTTGCTTATTATGATTTGTATTTGTAATCGTATTCGTATTCTTATTCGTATTCGTATTAGTGTATTTGTGTGTGTGTGTTCAGTTATTTGTTTATGCTTCACGTTCGGGTTGTCTGTGGTCAGTTCCTCAGCTCTATTGTCGTTGAAATGTCGCGACGCTTCGCATTGTTTACGTTTATGAGTCGTGCGGAATACGAAGAAGAAGACGTCATGGAACAACGGTTTATCGGAACGCGCAATCAAATTCGAAATGTCTGGCAATACGAAATGCTTGCGTGGGGAATGAAACGCGATGCAGGTGGTTTTTTAATACCGTTTGCTTATCGGTGTAGATCGCCTGGGATTTATTTTTATTTTATTTAATTAGTTTGCATTCAAATGAAGTGTAAAAATGCACTATTGGACTCCGACTTAAGTGTTCTGGGCGTAACGAATATTTATCTTTGTCAAATTAAAGTAGTTGGCTTCTCGGAAGGCAAAGGTATTATGTATTTTCCGTAATTGATAGCACTCTACATTTTTCTCAGGTCCTTTTTCACAGGTTCCCGTCAAAGTTAACAGTGCAGTGTTGCCACCCGTTCTAGCCTGTCTCTTGTTAGTTTGGCAATTAAAAAAGAGTTTCTCATGGCATTTAGACAAAGTCCATATGACGTACTTGTTGAATAATTGAAAACATTTTGCAGTTTATTCATTCATGTGTATTGCCTGCCCCATATGTGTTGTATAATAACACACATTTGACCGATATACCGGCAATTATCTTTGATAACTGGCCGTTGTCGCATTTAAAATATTTATGCGCTGCCCACTTGCAATTATCTTCACCTGCTTGCGGGTTTTCCATTCAATTTTAGTACTTTGCTCTAAATTGGAATTATTGAATTTCTTATGAGGTGGCAACGTCGTCGGGCAGTATAAATATTAAATTCGCAGCAGTTATATATCTTGAGTTAATAATAGAGAAAACTTTTTTGCATACTTTAGATTAGATTAGGCATTAGGGTTCTATTATTATAGCCAATTTTCTACAGTTAGATATAATTTTTTAACAAAGTGGCAACGCTCACTTAACGTTTCTTGTTCTAGTTTTTTGTTTTTGCCTAAATAAGGCTGCCAGCTGGTTTAATATTACACACAAACATATTGAAAAACAGATTTGTCATCTCAAATATTGAAGAAATTGAAAAGTTGATTAGAGAAATTTGTAAGATTAAGTTCGAGGCTTGCTTTTAGGTCTTATATGTATCTAGTACAGGCATATTGCTTGCCAAGTTGACAGGTAAACACAACTGTCACCCCATGTGAAGCCATGCAACTAATACCAATGGCAAACTCCAACCCCGATGCCGAACCGTCTGTCAATCTGGGGGACACTATCGACTAAATGGCACTATGCCCACTAGAGCTATGTATTTATTTCCCCGACAATTTGTTGTCGTGGGGTGCATCTAATGAAATTAAATGTATCAAAGACAGCAACAACTGAGTAAACACAGCAGCAGCGCAGGGAGTGGGTGGTAGGGGATGAGGGGGGAGGGGGGGGGGCTAGAAACTTGAACTGAAGGCGAGCTGAAATCGTTGCCGGCCAATACACTTGAGTGATTGAACATCAAGAGAAGTTCAGGACCAGCAAACAGCGGCGAGTAATCAGCGCCGAGGCAACCAGAGCCAAGCAACAAGAGGCAGGAGCTGTTGGCAGAAAGAGTGAGGGGGGGGGGGGTGGGGGGAGCTGGGCAACTGTAGAACTGGCGGACTCAGGAACTCGGACTGGGCCACTAAGTGAGAGAATGTCCCAAGACTGTTTGGTACGTGACTAGGAACATTATTGTTTGCTTATCTACACTTAATTGCTTCTGGCTACACTTAATAATATGGTATTGCACACACACACACACACTCGCACACATACACATACACACTTGTACACTCAGGCAATAGCCACAACGTCATCGTCTTTTGGTCTTACGGCTCTCGTCATTGTGGTGGCCGTGGCTAAAGTTGCCTGTTGCCCCCGCCACGCTTCGCTCTGCTGCCGATGCCGCTGCTGCTGCTGCTGCTCAAAGCCCGCCTCCTGCTTCAACTTGTCGTCGTCTTGAGGTAGGGGCAGAGGCGGCGCGGGTGCGCTGCGTTGCTGTTGCTGTTGTTGCCGCCTTGGCCGCATTGTTTGTTCAGTTTTTATACCCTTATAATTTTGTCATGAATCGTGTCACGCCTGGCAGCAAGCATTTGCAAGTCCTTAAGTCTATATATGTTCTTGATCAGTATCTAGAGGCAAGCTGATAAAGTAATATTCCTCTCTCTAAAACTTAATCTAAGAAAACTTTCTTATCAGTCCGGAAATTTGGAATATAATATATATCGGAAACACCCGAATCGCACCATTTTATTAGATAGTTGTTATAGCAAGGATCAGTCGCAAATAGATATTAAATATAAGTTAAGTCTTACGTGGTACTATATCATACTACATCATACTCTATCATTCTATATCATACTATATGATGGAGCAAATAACATTCACATAACTGAGTTTCGTTATGGAATACTTTTCTTTTTCCCTCAATAACTTGATCAAAATCCAAAAATGATATAACTACAAAACCCTATTGAATCGTGCTATTATATATTATTTATAATATATGTATATAGGAGCAATCGATCAAGCCTCATGTCTGGCAGGGTATTCAAGCTTCGGCGTGCCGCAGTTAGCCGTTTTCTACTTGTTCACTTTGCGTTGGTCTTCGTCATCGCCGTTGCTTCTTCTTGTTTATTTTTTTCTTCTCTTTATTCAGCTTGAGATTTGTTGCACCATAAAAAAAAAGGTGGGGTAAGGAGCGGGGTTTGGGAGCAGGGTTTTGAGCTTCTCGGAGATTTCTGGTTGCCGCCGTCCGAGTCCATGCGGCATCGCCTAGTCAGCGAGCTGGGCTATTTGTTTGCCGCGCTGCTTTCTGTCCATTCGTGCGGCTGTCTTCTTGCTTTTCCATTTTTTTTTGTGTGCCATGAAAAATTTCATTGGAATTGGTTTTTATTGTGGGCCTCGTCGTTTTGATGGATTTTCGGTAGGTACAAATTGTCTGCTGCTAATGGAGCATGAGGCACTTGCCTGTCCATGTGTGTGTGTGTGTGTGTGTGCGAGCGAGGGGGTGTTTGAGTGTGAGTGTGTGTGGGTTGCTTTATAGCATCAAATTTTGTGGATTTTCCGACAAGGATCATTAAGTCACTGAAAGATCTAAGCACCTCGACTGATGTGTCAGTTAGACCCGCTTATGCTGACCCGCGGGTTCAAAAGGCAACTTTGACAGGTCGAGCAACATTTTATTAGGTCTGTTTTTCCAAGTATTTGTTTCTGGTGCTTTCTGAAAGACTCTTAAAATGCTTTAACAAGTGTTTCAGTGCTGACAACTTGCTGTTTAAGGGAAATTGATTTACTGGAGTTGGCCTTAGATAGTTAAAATTGCCAAGTTAAGATAAAATTCTTTCTAACACTTTTTAACTTTTAGAAATTTATCAAAACAAACTCGATTTTGATACGAAAATGTTTGTGTAAGCTTTTTTTTATA